GGCGCAGTGCTAATGTCACGTCCACTTGTGCTTTCACAGCTTTGTTGTACTCAACAAACATCTTGTTTCCACTTTTAGCAGGAACAGTTTTCTTGAATATTTTGAAAAGTGTGGTGCTTTGCTGTTGGTCTGCCCTCTTGTAGCTCCCTTTTTAGGTATGAAGTCATCATTTGAGGCTGACACACTGCTCTCACTCTCGGACATGTCTGGAATTATCTTGTTGTGGAGTACATTAGGCCACTTAGTATCATTGATATTGATATTCTTGCTTTCTTAATCACGTATAAATTTATACACTTATTATTGCAGATAGGAAGATATGGCTCAACCTTAACATAAACTCATCATCCCTGAGTTATCACAGTTATTTATATCACCTAAATTTTAAAAAGAGAAGAAAAAAGAATGGAAGTCTGGTTATGACTGCACTTGAATGGCTAATGAATGAATGAATGGCTAACTAGATATATTATTAATGGTTTACTGCATTGGACTGATTTGCTCTAAAAACATGTACTCATATTCTGAAGTAATAATTGCCTTTTTATTTATGGTAATGTTGTATGCGTTTTGTTCTGAAAAAAGTAGTACCTTTCTTTGCCTGTGCCATTGCAGTGACTGCAGGCCGCATCCAACTTCACTCCAGTGCCATTACACACCCAGCAAGCTTTCTACAAGGACACAAATAAGCAATTTTTTTAATGTTACCACCAGAATTTTCCTGTCAGCAATTATTATGCATTGTTGAGAATTTTCTTACTTTTCCAGATCCATTGCACTCAGTGCATTGCTCTATACCTGTTGCATGGCAGGTGTTGCATTCCTAAAAACACACACACATACACACAAAAAAGTTAATAATAAGATTATTGTCACACTGACAGACACTTCTCCTTAGAACCTTCACACACATTCCATGTTAACAGTTTAACTTCTAATCAGAGATCAAGCTAAATCAAAACTGCAAATAAAGTTGTGGTAGGAGTTTGCATATGCTCAGAAAAAGTTTTTATAGTCAAATGAGAAAAGAAAAAGAGCTATGTGGCCACAATGACAAGACGTATGTTTGGATTAGTAAAGGTGAGGCATTCAAACCTAAATGTACCAGCTGTTAAAGATGGTGGAGGTAGCAAATTCTTCAAATTCATCTCAAAACAACAGCTACATGATTGAAATGCTGGGTGCTCCAGCAGGACAATGATCCCTAACACACATCGTTGTTCTATTGATTTAGCCTTGGGGTTCTACACTGCCGGAAAAAAAAAAGGATTGTTTATTAATCCTCACCTTTGACTCTGCATTTGGGTCATTTTCACATACAATCATGACACTACTGAAATGTCTTGAAGAACTGCTGTATTGAGAACCCTTGATCACTGTCGGTAACCCAAGAAACAACCTCCGGTCCTTTCAAGACCCGGTCAAACCCATGGAACATCTTCAGATTTGACAGCTGCTGACATCTTTTCAAGGTTTCCTGACAGCTTTATTGTGCCTATATATGAAACCATTACTTGAGCCAGCTCAATGCATTAAAAAAAAAAAAAA